CTTTGTAGAGTGATGCCCAAGGGCATTCCACCAACACCATCCCCTGATTCTGACTGCTGGGAGGGACGTGACTCCCCGTGCACGTGGTTGGTGGTGTATTGCAGGACATTAAGTCGGGGGAAGGATTGATGCCCGCGGGAGGTAGGGAGGCAAGTGACCAGCTAGGTTATTGGAATGCCAGTAGACCTGGGGGGTGGAGGGGGGGAGCTTGAGGAGCTACCAATCTTGGTGTTCACACTCTCTTCCCAAGATCTCTCACGCTCTGGAAAAACTAGTGTATCTGAACCTCTGATTCTGTTTCCCAGGAACAGAAACCCCTTCCTCCAGGGCCCCACTGTGGGCTCAGCCCATCACCCAACAGCCTTTCAGAGTCTCCTGCTGGAGCTCTGACCTGCTTGGGGCTCTGGGGGGCTGGAGGTGGTGTGAGGAGGTGCCCAGGGTCCTGTGCAAGAGGGGTGGTTGTTATGTCCTGTGTTGGAAGGTTCTGAGTTTTTCTGGTTATGTTGGGGGCACCCAAGGGTGTGTGAGGCTCTAGGGATATGTGGCTTTGGGCACCTTTCTGCCAGGGGTTCTGAGCCTGGAGTTGAGGGGGCTCCAGGCTCTGGAAAGCCCGGGGTGACGGTGGTGTCCAGATGCATCTGTGTATGCGTGTGTGGTGGGGAGAGCAGACTCTGAATGTTGGGTGGTGGTGGTGGTCCCTGAGCAGGAGGGTCCAGTGGGTTTTCAGGAGGTGGGTCAGGATGGGGGTATGTGTTGCTGTTGGAGTTGCTGGCAGGACATCCAAGATAGAGGGCATTTGGGGGGCCATCCTTGGGCTGGGGGCTGCAGGCAGTGGGAGATGGGCCAGCAGGCTGAGGCTAGGCCTGGCACATTACTCCTAGTTTTGAGCAGGGGTGGGCCCCGAGGCTGCCTCCTGCGGGTGGGGGCAGGCTAGGGCCAGGCCTGAGGATGTTAGGGGGCGGAGAGGGTCAGGCTGGCTTGGTTCTGCAGGAGGGTCTGGAGGGATCCAGATAGGATAGATGGGAGTCCTGGGCAGAGGGGGGCTCTTTTGGGGATGGGGGGATCTGCGGGTAAGGGTCTGGAGATGTATGGGGAGGGGTGTCATGGGGCCGAGGTACCCTCAGGGGGTGGCGGCGCAGTGCAGGGTGGGAGGCTCCGAGGGG